GCACACGCTCTCACTTTTGCTCCCTCAGTCCTCTTGCTCCTCTGCATCTTCCAGATGAGCAGCTTTCTTCTCTCTTGGCGGATTCATGGATTTCAAATAACTTCTTGTGGCTTTCAACTTGGAGATCAACTGCCTGCGGTCTGCCTTGCAACTATGTTGATTTTATTTATCTCTGGCATCCCTGCCTTCTGTGGAGTCAACGACTTTCCTATCCTGCATGCCTGAAGCGCTCACCTTAGAGTTTTAAAGCATGTATTTTTTTATTATTATTATTATTTTTAACAATGCAACCATATACTCTGCCATCATCTCCATATTTCCTTGGGAGGGGATTAGTAGGTTTGAGGGACAGAAGAAAAGGGGTATGATGTTGACTTTTCATGGCTTAGGCTTCAGGCAGCCATCTTACCCTTGCTCCCTCTGCCTCACGGGTCCCTCACCTGTGTGAGTGTGTGCTGGTTGTGTCACTGGCCTTCAGCTGTATAGCCCATCCTGCAGCTTAGATTAATTCAGTGAAATACTTGAGGATCTGTGTTGTTCTTTGTAGTACTCTGGTAACACGTGGCTGAGCTGCGTGTTGTTCTAACCACCTAATCCGCCAACAATTATTGAAATGCCTTGTTAGAAAATTGATAGTTTTTGTGTAGTGAATAGTGAGCATACAGGACATCCCATGCTGTTTGTGCCAACTTGGGTTATCTGATGTTGAAAATATATACAAACATGCACCTACATATAAAACCTATTTGCATTAGATCAAATATCTATTTTATGGGATTTTTAAAAACCGTTATGCATGTTTTTATGCATTTGGATGCATATTTCCAGCTGAAGAGGAATTTTCACTTTTTATATGCTAAACAGCAATGGAAGTGTCTTCTGATGTTCATGCTCAGCCCTGCAGGAGGCAAGGATCTGCTGTTGGCTGGGACCTAGCTGAAGTGATCTGCCTGTCCTTGGTCCCTTTTCTTGCTTGTTACTCTGAGCTGCAGAGCCCTAGGTCTCCCGTTTTGTGCACTCTGGTCCTCAGGCTTGACGTCAGAGGGGACATGTTGTCCAGTTGGTCTTCTGGCACTGCCAGCTCTCGATTGAAGGCAGAGTAAAATGCATAAAACCTTACTCCTAATATGCAGCTGAGCAACTGACAGTAGCTGCATGTGCAGTATTCTCTTTGCTCCCCTGTGGACACCCTGACTTTCCTCTGGAGTCAGGAAAAGTGTGACAGATGGATTTTTTCCTAGCCTGTGTGGCTTATCTCCCCAAGCCCCCAGAGTAGCTGTGGGACCTCATCACAAACAGCGTGAGAAAGGCAAGCCCTATGTATTTAGCGTAGCGTTTGCTCACACAGGTAGGCATACATAAACCAGAAACATAATAAATTGTTCAAAATGCTGATTTTGCAAAGGAAAGGGAAATGATTTTACTGATTAAATATTCATGATGTGCTCTATATTACAGCAGTAGGTTTATAAATACATAGATGGATTGCTGGCTGGATAGGAGGCTTTGCAGAGGAAACCATGCTCTTCCTAGTGCCGGGATATGACATCTCCATACCCACAGAGATCGAGGCCAGCATGTTTGTGATGATGCCTTGGAAAAAAATCACTTTAGTTAAAAATATTCAAATACAATAATATACTTTATTTTGATCTCTCTTCAAAACTGAAATACTCAAGTAATTAGCAATCCTCTAGGTTCACTTTACAAAGCTGTTAATGTTTTACTAAAATACATGGACTCTCAGGACACCTGGGGCAGCAGTAAATGTCCTGGCAAAATGACCACCCTTCTGTCTTTACAGTAAATGTATAGCTTTCGTGTATTTCTTCCCTATTATGTGAAGTTGCCTTTCTGAATTCATTGCCTTTGTGTGTCACACAGCTGCCTGACTTCTTGCACACACACACGTGCTCTCGGCCCTCCCCTAGACATCTGTGCTGCTTCTCAGCACCAGGTGCCACAGCTTGTTGGGAGGAGGGGTAAAAAAAATTCCTGCAAAAAATTAGAGTGCAGTGATATTTTTACCAAAATTTGCAGTGGAATTTTATCTTTAACCTCTGTTTTTAATAAGGACCCAAAAGGCATTAGCTAAAAATACATTTTTTTTAAGTGTTCATCTGAGAAAGGTTACGATTTGGGGTTGGCTTCCTGCAAAAGGTTTTCCTGTAAAATTTTTTTGATGTGATCGTACTACTGTAGCATCACAGCGCTCAGCAAAAGGCCATGGCAACTGTGGATCTATTTGTTATCTGGGATTTTTTTTCCCCGCATGGGAATATATTTCGTTAGAAATTTTCAGGCTTACCTTCATCACCAAGTTCTGATCCACAGGAGGACTTCAGTGCCTAGCTGCTGCTTGAAGTACATCCACTACGTGAAACCTTCATAACATCCCCTAAGCTACTGTAGGTTTCTGGAGATCTTGGGTGGCTAATTTTGCTCCAAGAAAATCCAGAATGCTGAGCTGCGTGCTATTATTTATACATAAAACTGCTCATGTTTTTTCCTTGACAAAGCTGAGCCGTAAATGCTTTGCTCCTGCCTGATCTCTCTTAGGAGCAGTCCCTCAGAAAGCAGCAAGGAGCCGGTGAGCCCCGTGGGACTGTTCCCCTGCTAGTCTGGGAACAACCGTGGTGGCCTCCTCCATTCTCCTCTCTTTATTTGTCAGAAGGGACGGTCTTATTCACCCATTTGCAGACTCACCTGTGAGTCCTGATCTAACCTTAAAGGAGGAGAATACAGCCCAATACCTTTCTCCGTCATTTCCTACCAGCTGACTTGGGCCATTTTCCGCTCACGCTCTTGACCGCATGGTACATCAGGGGCACAGCCAGGCTGTTTCTGGTTTCTGTCTTCCTAGGCACCTTGCTCCCCGTCTGCTTTTCTCCTTGCAGGCAGGTGATAAGATAATGTAGGTGATAAGCCTAAAAAAGTGCCAAAAATAGGATTTATTCCAGTGGTGGCGGTCTGCCTAGTAAAGCATATGGGATGAAATGTAGGGGTTCTTTGTTGCTTAGGGAAAATCAGCCTTGGTAGGTAGATGGGAGCAGGTAGATGGGAGCTGCCCTGTGGTAGACTCATGGACTTGCTTTTAGGAAGGACGAGTTTATGTTGTTCTTTCCCCTTTCTCTTTTCACCCCTTTTCCTCAAACATGTCTTCTTATCCTTGCAGTCCCTGGGAGCACAGATGCTCTCTGTGGCCGTAGATATTCCTGCAGAGACATTAATGAAAACTCTGCACCTTCCAGGGTATTTTCCAGAGGCACAAAAGTCACGTGTGGCTTGGCCACTGGCAGATTTGGGCTGAAGCAAGAAGCATGTACTCAGCCCTCAGAGGAGTTACCCTCTGGGATGGTCTTCCCATAACACACAGAATATCTAATGAGGGGAAATGTCAGTCAGCAGATTAAGGCCAGATAAAATGGAGTGCTTTTCCTCGTATTAAGTAATGAATCTTTGAGACCAAAAGTTTTGGAGGCTGGGAGTACAGATTGAAGAAGGGATTAGACGAATTCGGAGAGGACTGGTCCATCGATGGTAATTCAAAATGTCGGCCTGGGTGCAGTCTCTCGCTCAAGAAGATCCTGGATGGCTGATTGCTGGTGGCTGAGCAAGTCTATCAGGGATCACTCCATACACCTTTCTTACGCTCTTTCTTTAAGCGTCTTCTCTCGGCCTCTCTCACAGGTAGCACTTTCAGCTAGATGAGCTTTATTTTGGTCTAGTGTGACAGTCCTTACTGGCTCTTAAGGTGGAGCTTAATCAGTTGATGGAACAGTCTCTGCTTGATGCGGGATGAAATCCTGCGTTTTCAGGAGACTGATCCCGTAGGTCACCCTGGAAGTTTGGTCCCATGTCTGAGCCATCTTCACAAGGGGACGCCAGCCTGCTGCCCCTGTGGATGGCGCCCTACCTTCAGAGCTGCCACCCACAGCGTGGTTGCTCCTCAGGGTACTCAGAAGCCGGTGCCTGAGCTAGCCAAGCTTTTGAGGAGCTCCAAAACGCAAAGCTAATAGCCAGGCTTGTCATTAATAAGAAACAGTTGTTAAGAGCAGTGATGTGTGTTTATGGGTTTTATGTTCTGGAAGATAGGCCTGAAAAGGACAAAAATAAATAAGGAAACTCTAGGCCTTTTCTACTGTGAAATTTGCCTGCCCTGGCTAATATTCTTTCCTGCCCCCGTTTTTGCTTGTAATGGCAAATGTCCTTGTGTTAATAAACTCATAATACATGTTATTCATCCCTTCAAGGCCAGTCCTTGCAGCTTTGTTAGTGTATTAGGATATTTATGACTTTGCAAATGACTGAAAATCTGCAATTTGTCATTAGGAATTAAGAAACATGTTCCTTCCACTTAGAGCTGAAGCTGAGCTTTGGCCTTGGAGGGACTGAGCCACCTCTGGGCTTGGCAGACAAAAACAAAGTCAGACAGTGCCCAGATTTACAGCAGCAAGTGATTCTTAGTTACTCAGATGTCTCTGATAACGTGTCATCTGCTGTTGCTGGTAGGGATCAATGTTTAGGCTCAGAAGTCATTTCTTTCTAGCTGGAGAGAAAATAAAAATCTCTGTTCTGCAAGAGCAAAAAGTGAAAGAGGTAGTAAGAGAGCAAAAAAGGGAGAGAAGTGCAAATACTGCCACACACATGTAAAAATATATGCACGTATGTATATACATACACAGCACAAGAGATGAACAGAAAGAAAGTGCTGTTCAGAAGAAAACATTGCATTTCAATTTGCTGTGCTCTGTACTTTCAGCTGGGGAACATAGGAAGTTAAGAGAATTGTTAGGGTTTCAGGAGAGTTTGTCATGTAGTTGCAAAGGGCTAAAGACTTGATTTTGACAATAATCAAAAGAGCCTTTTGAGCACTAAAATGTAGTCCAGAAAATCAGAGGGAGGGATGTTAGTTGTTTTGTACAGCATGATCTTCTCAGTTCATAGGAGCTTCAGCCACTCAATGGTACCTTTTTTTTCCTTCCTCTCTTTTCAGGTTGATTAACTGACGAGAAAAAAAAAAAAAGGGGGAAAAAAAAAACGAAACTGCTTTCAGCTATAGAAGATACAAGGCCAGGATGAACACGAAGGACGCAAAAGTGACTGAAGGAGGTCTCAATGTCACGCTCACCATACGTCTCCTCATGCACGGCAAGGTGAAGCGTTTCGCGTTGCCCCAGCCGTGGCCGTTGGTTGGGCCAGCGCGGGCGGTTGCTATCACAGCCTAGCAGGGACATTCACAGAGGCTCTGCTCCTCCTCCTCCAAGTCCAGCCAAAAGCACCATTGCCATCACCGAAAAATCACCCCCTGCCTTTCAAGGCAGCATACTTACTTAAATTTGTATTACGGTCCAGGTTCAAAAATTCATTTTGAGCCATTCCGGCAGCAAAAAAGAGTTCTTAACTGATAACTGATAGGTAGCCAAATTTTAGACAGACCCTTGCACAAAGCTGATCTGCCTACAGCTGCCATCTTTTCTCGCCTTTCTCATCATTTGCTGGACTTCGCGGTCTTTGCAGCAGTGGCCACAGAGTTAGTGTGTATTTCTGTTGTATTCACCTAGGAGGGTTCTTCATTAGTCTGATGTAGCATCTTTCTAGAGTGAACCCCCTGGTATAGCAAGCGTTTGTCCAGGTTGCCTGCGGGTTTGGTTTGGAAGGTCAGACTGTAATTTCTTTTCTGTCCAGCGCAGCACTTAAACACGTGGGTAAGTGTGAAATCTGTGCCGTAGGCAAGGTGCCAGTTCAGCACTGTCACACTTGACCATCTGATTGCCGTTTATTTCACATCACAAGATCACAAAATGAGTTTTAATTCAAACATGTTTCATAGGTTTGTTTTGCAATGTTTGCATCAGGCAACAACAGGCATTTTTAGGCTTAAGGAACGGATGTTAAAAAAAGGAGATGGGCCCGGCTCTTTTTTAACAAGGGACCGTGAAGATATATGTCGTTCTACAGATGAAATTTATATACATACATCTAAACAATTTTTTTTGCTCCTGGAATTTAATTTATAAGCTAAAAATACATTTATATTTTAAAACAATGCATGCTTTCAGCTCTCTAGATCACAGATCTGTGGCATGAACACGTATATGATATACCCACAGCACAAATATGGGAGGCTAACGTAGCTCCATCTATATTATTCTTGTGGAGCTGTGAGGAAGTATGAGAGGGTACAGCTTAAGTTTGCAACTTAAAAAACCCAAAACTTTGGATATGCTGGAATTAATGTACTGTGGGTGAAACTATATATTTTCTCAGAAATGAGTCAACCGTTTTGGTTGATCTTTTTTTTCCCCAGAAATATTCAGCTTCAGGCAGGCATCTGGTGTGTAAAATTTACATCTTAAATAGGAAACTGTCAAACTTATTTATTAACAGTCTCTTTTACCAAACCCACCTAAAATCTGTGCGCATGTCTGTGCTCAAAATTAGTTCTTAGGGTTTCAATCCTGCTGGGTCCTGGTCCCAGCCCAAAAAAGCATTGGAACACATCTGTATCCTGGTAGGTGTAGGCAACCCTACCATTTGGGTGTAGGCAACCCTACCATTTTCAGTCATACTCCTGTGTGCTTAAGGGTGCCTTTTTTTTTCTCTTTTGCTAATCACTCAGCTCAGCTTCTTTCAGAATCATGCCACTAAAGCCTAGTCAAGTATCTGTCATTTTCAGGACAGCTGGGGGCTGGGGGGGTTTTGGGAAACAAAAGATAATCAGAAAATAAATTTAAAAAAAAAAGATTTTCTATGTTGAACATAGTTGATTGTGTGTGCAACCACTCTTAACAGTAATGAATGTTATGTGTCCAATCTTCAATGCTTACGCAGCATTAATCTAAATTAAACCCAAAAAAGCTGGGCAATTCAAAGAAGTAGTGGGAGTACAGCACACGTCCTCAGATAACAAGGCGCGATGGGTATACCGTGAGCTCCACTATGCTCCAGTCATTTATTCTATTGTTCCTAAGTATTGCAAAGAGTACATTAAATTAGAATTTATTTTGGTGATTAAAGTCAGACTCTTATGGTGTCCTTGATGTCATTTCTGTGATTTAAAAATGCTAATATCAAGGAATGAAGGCTGTCGGGATTTATAGGAACTCACTGGGAGGAGTCACTCTTGTCTGTGCCTCTGAAAAACAGAAGAGGAAACATGCTCCCTTGCTCTTCCTTAAGATTCATTCTGGTAATGGCACTCCTGGAAATTGCTGATCTCTCATTAGTATTTCGAGACAAAACATTTAGTTGAAGCAGAACTTGGGTTATAAATAAGTGGTCGTAGCTTGAAAGAGAAGAGGGGAATTAAAATCGTGTTTTTAAAAATAACAGCAGCAAATTGGATTCGAAGAAAGATAATTCTGAAGCTATTTAGTTCTTAGTGAATTTCATGGAAATGCCAGGGTCTCTCCTGGATAATCTTAACTCTGTCCCTAAACCCCTATTACCAGTGTACCTAAGCATTTCTGAAGGGCTTTATGGACACAAATTGAGAGCGCGTGCGTTTGTGGGCAAACAGCCCCCGGCTATCAGAGCCCCCTGAAAGGATTAGCTGAGCTCAAAAGAAACACTTGTTTTCTTTTTCTTTCCTTTTTCTTTTGTGCCAGAAATGGACCTGTTCTAGCTATCTGCCCGTTAGAGGTTCTTTGGGTTCTTGGTGTTTCTTTCTTGTTATTCCTTGTTCACCTTTTGCTGAATTTTTATTCCCATGAATTGCAGCCAGCTGATTTTCTTGCTTCCTGTAACTAGTAACAAGGTTGAAAGTTTGTGGAAAACTGTAGCCTTGCCCACAGATCTCTGTCAGTGTACCTTTAGTACTTAATATCTGTTGCGCTCTTGTTCCGAAATTGGGCAGTTCATGACAGAAGAAAATAGCTCCAAAAAAGCCCTTACATGGACTATAGTGGATAATGATGACATGATTTTTGCATGGTTTGGATTTGTACACAGCCAATGTTCACAGGCTGATTGAGACCCTAGAGACTCCCTGTCAAAAGTTAAAGTTAGATACAGATGGTAAGCAGACTGTGCCAGTACAAAGAGGTGAAATTTCAGGAAAGCAGTTTAATGGAGATTGAAAAGTTGGGTGCGTGAGGCGAGGAATGCGAGATAATATGCAATCGCACCAACGTGGAAAGGGCCCCGGGGTCACGAATCCGCTTTGGGACCTGTCCCAGAGGGGTGGCACAGGAGTCGTTGCTTCCTCCCTTGAGGACAAGCTTGCAGAAGTGCCTTGTCTCCCAAGGGACCTCTGCTTGAAGATGTGTCTGTGAAACTCTCTAGGGGCAAGAAGCCAGTCAAGAATAGATTGCATCAGAGAAAGCTTTTAGAGAAAGGGGAAGGAGTTCAGAAATAGGAAACAAAATGGATTAATGAAGTCAGGTGGGTTAGGAAGAATAAGAAAATAATTCATAGGTAGGGTGAAGGAGGGACGAGAAAACTGGGAGGGAAGCAGGCCTCTTACTGCATAACGAGAGGAGTGAGTTGGAAAGCCAAGGCAGTTAACTGGGGAAGGCAATTTGAAAGATGCAGGTTCGGTGAGGGGAGGAGATCGGGAAAGCAGAAAGGCTGCAAGGTGTCAGATGTGCTTGTGACTGGAGTAGCGCATTGGGGGTGTATTGGGTTGGAGAAGAGTGCCATTGCAGCGGAAGCGTATGCAATTTTGGATGTATGTACAGCATATGATGGGGCAAAGAGAGGGTAATTACCTTACTGTACTTCTGGCAAAATCGCACCTGCGGTTCTGTGCTCAGCAGTCAGTGCCGTGTTTGTGAATGATGTTGAAAACTGAGTGGAGAAGGAAGGCACAGAAAAATAACAGTTTTCAGAGGCTGAAGAGCCTATGTTTAGCTTTCTTCAGGCATTCTCACAAATACTTGAAGTGAATAAATATGAGCAATGGAAAGTCATTAATTTGAGTGATACAAGGGCTTGTGGCTAGCAATGATGGGATAAAATATATTTTTGAAAATAAATGATAATAAGGGAATCCCAGGAGAAACCCCTGGCATTCAGATTTTTATGAGGGTCTGGGACTGTCCCCTAAGCAGATTTTAAGCGTGTCCGGGTAGGAGCTGCACATGTACAAAAGTATAATCTGCATTGCTGGGGGAAAGACACGACTGCATGGGACTTTGCCTTCTCTGATATCATTTACTTGATGATATGTTACTCATAGTTTCAGAAATACAGAAATAGAAAAAGTGTACCTGCAGAGAAATTTTCAAGGGTGGGCAAGAACCTAGAAGTGCCTGGTTTTTTTAGGCACTAAACTTTTCATACTTACAGCTTTGTTTTAGATGTGCTGGGCAACTCTGTCTCCCAGTGGCTTCAGCTGGGTCAGTGGGTGCAGGGGAGGGACTGATTACAGTGGGATTGCATCCAGCCTCAGTGGTGGCTTTTGAATGTATTGGTGATTATTTTATAACGCTATAGAGTTTTCTACAGATGAAAAAAAAATTCAGACTCATTAAAGTGCTTGCTCACACTTAAAGACTCAAATACAGGCAGTGTAAAGCTGTGAAGAACATTGCCGCTTTCATCTGCATAGGTAATATAGTCTTAGTGTCATGGATTACTTTTAGCAGCTGCTTTTGCATACCTGCTTAATTCATCCCTGAAAGAATTTTAAAGCAAGAAAAGAAATAATTAATTTTTTCTCCATCGTGAAGGTAATGCCCTCCTCCTTTCTCATGTGTTTCCTTTTAATTTTTACTTATTAAAATGCAGCATAAAAGAAAACAGCTCTAAGAATCATCTTTTCAGTAACTTAGTCCAAGCCCGAAAATACCAACCAAGTCAATGTTTGATCTCTTCTTTCTAGTTTCCATGAACGCTGTCAGGGTATTATGAGGATTGACTGTCCTGCTTATTGCTGGTACAGTTCTTCTTTTGTTTGTATGCATGCCTGTAGTACCTAAGAGCTCTGGTCATGGAGCAAACCTCAGTGTGCAAATATGTGCAAATCTCCTAGTATTACTGTAGTAACAGCTGAAAGTTTCTCACTGTTTTCACTAGCCTAAAAAATCAATGGAAAGAACAGAGCTCTTTTCCCACAGCCCATGGGCATTGTTTGCTCCCCAAAGCAGTCTCTGTGGCCAAATTTTCCCGCTTTTGTTAAACAGAATCTCATCAGTCCGCAGTTATAATGAAC